AGCAGGTGGTGTGGAGGTTAAAGCGGTTGGATCCTCCATGGTTGACTGCACGGTTTGTGCCCAGACCCAGCAACCTGAAAATTATGCTGGGCGTGTATGCATACTTGGCCAAAATCCTGAGAGGAGAATAGAAAAGGGATTGCAGCATAACGATCCTTCCTGGATGGGGGGGCTATACTGCTTACTTTCATTTTTCTCTCTCTCTCTCTCCAGGTACATGTGCCTCATAATAACAAAAACAAAACAAAACAAAAAATAAAAATAAGAAAAAGTTTTAACCCAATCTCAAAATATACTGCGGAAACTAGACAATATACCTTGAAATAGTTTGCCATTATTCAGCCTTTAATTTTCAAAAACTTTACCTCTAAAATTTTTTCCAAGTGTCAGCAAGTGGCATGGTGGTTAAGGGGCTAGATTCTCACATGGCCAACAGCAGTTTGAGTCCTGGACCCGCCGGCTTGCTTCCTCACTTTCCTGCTTTCTCTCTGGTCAATTGAAAAATTATAAGAATAGTAATGATGATGAATAAAATAATTCTAATTTTTTTTAAAGAATTTTTCCAGTGAAATGACTAACAGCAGAAGAAAGCCTTGAGCAAGTAAAAGCAAAAGAGATCTATCATGGAAATTTTTATGAAGTATTCAGAATTTCAGTATCAGCTAACACCCTGGTCTGGAGCACGCCCACAGTGCTGGCCTTAAGGACACTGATGACAAAAACTTTTGCTTATACCAGTATCTCACAACACATGTGCAATATCTGCCTATTTCCACATTCATAGTTTACAGATCAAAATATAAATACTATTTTAAGAGTGGACATTTCACAGATTGTTCCCACATTCCTCATCAGTTTTAGAGCACTGAGAATAGAAATGATAAATATAAAGTTATTTCCACTTTTCATTCTAATTAACCTTTTTAAAAAGTTTAATCACTTATTTCTTAGACAGAAAGAGACAGAGACAGACACCCCCAACACAGTGGTCACACCAAAATCGACCCCCAGTCTCATCCAGGCTCTACAATGGGGACTCAGCACACCTGGCAGGCTCAAAGAGGTCCCAGGACTCAAACCCAGGACCTTTCTCAAGTAAGTACAGTGGCATTACTGCTACATCATTTCCTGTCCCTCTAATCACTAACTTTTTATCCTAATTATTTTAGTGTCTCATTCTCTCCATACCTCTACCCACAATCAGGAAATAAACAGAATAAGATATACAGTTATGGAGAAAGAGAAAAGCGTCCAATGTTGTAAATCGAATCATTAGAGACAATAATAGTCAATGAATAGTTCATTTGTTTTCAAGAACTATTTAAATGCTAAATATATAATTAGCTTTAGAAAATGCTAATAATCAAGTCCTCTCTCAAGGCTTAGGGCTCCCATTCCTTCTTCTTTTCATCATACCTTACTCCAAGGGATCCAGTGTCCCCTTCAACTCAAATATTACCCAAGTCTCTAGCACTGTTTTTTATGCCAACATTTGGTATCACTTTTTCAACTATCTAGATGCCATTTATACTTGTGCCCAACCTATTGCCTTCAACCCAACACATCTAAAACCACAACTGCCTTTTAATGGGAACCAGCAGTTAGCATAATGGCTATGTCGCTGGACTCCCACGTAGTTGACCGCGGTTCGCATCCCAGACACGGTGGCTTAGAACTCACGCAGGGCGCGTGTGCCTGCGTGCCCAAGATCCCAAGAGGAGAATGGAGGAGAAGGGATTGTGGCGTGACCATGCCCCCGGGGGGTGATTTCTCACTTTCTGTCTCTATGTCTCTCTCTGTCTGTCTGGGGAGCGCACGCGCCCTATAGCGAAAACCTCTCAAAAATAAATAAATAAATAAATAAATAAATAAATAAATAAAACCACAACTGTCTTTTATCTATTTTGTTATCTGTTCCTAGATAGTAGTCAGTCTCGTGAGGAAGATGAACATACTTTGGAGATTTGTCAGTGGTTATGCTTTCTTTGAAGAAAAAGAAAAAAAAAAAGGAATGACC